TGGTGAAGAACATCCCAACACCGCTGAAAGCTACCATTCAGTAGGAGTGACACACCATTCCCTGAGTGATTACGCCGCTGCCCTTGAGTCACAGAAGCGTGCTTTCGATATCAGAATGAAATTGTTTGGTCAAGAACATCCAATGACCGCTGACACCTATCATTCAGTAGGAGTTACACAGCAATCCCTGAGTGATTACACCGCCGCCCTTGAGTCGAAGAAGCGTGCTCTTAAAGTCAAAATTAAATTCCTTGGTGAAGAACATCCCAACACTGCTGACAGCTACCATGAAATAGGAGTTACACAGCATTCCCTGAGTGATTACATCGCCGCCCTTGAGTCAGCCAAGCGTACTCTTGATATCAGAATTAAATAGTTTGGTGAAGAACATCCCAAGACCGCTGACAGCTGCCATGAAATAGGAGTTACACAGCATTCCGTCAGTGATTACACCGCCGCCCTTAAGGCAGCCAAGCGTGCTCTTGATATCAGAATTAAATTGTTTGGTGAAGAACATCCCAACACCGCTAACAGCTACCATAATATAGGAGCTACACAGCATTCCCTGAGTGATTACACCGCCGCAATGGAGTCAGCCAGGCGCGCTCTTGATATCAGAATGAAATTGTTTGGTGGAGAACATCTCAACACCGCTGAAAGCTACCATTCAGTAGGAGCTACACAGCATTCCCTGNCGCTGAAAGCTACCATTCAGTAGGAGTGACACAGCATTCCCTGAGTGATTACACCGCCGTCCTTGAGTCAAAGAAGCGTGCTCTTGATATCAGAATTAAATTGTTTGGTGAAGAACATCCCAACACCACTGACACCTATCGTTCAGTAGGAGTTACACAGCATTCCCTGAGTGATTACACCGCCGCCCTTGAGTAAAAGAAGCGTACTCTTGATATCAGAATTAAATTGTTTCGTGAAGAACATCCCAACACGGCTGAAAGCTACCATACAGTAGGAGTGACACAGTATTCCCTGAGTGAATACACCACCGCCCTTGAGTCACAGAAGCGTGCTTTTGATATCACAATTAAATTGTTTGGTGAAGAACATCCCAAGACCGCTAACAGCTACCATAATATAGGAGCTATACAGCATTCCCTCAGTTATTACACCGCCGTCCTTGAGTCAGCCAAGCGTGCTGTTGAGATCAGAATTAAATTGTTTGGTGAAGAACATCCAGAGACCGCTGGAAGCTACCATTTAGTAGGAGTAACACAGCATTCCCTGAGTGATTACACCGCCGCCCTTGAGTCAAAGAAGCGTGCTCTTGATATCACAAATAAATTGTTTGGTGAAGAACATAACAACACCGCTGAAAGCTACAATTCAGTAGGAGTGACACAGCATTCCCTGAGTGATTACACCGCCGTCCTTGAGTCACAGAAGCGTGCTCTTGATGTCACAATTAAATTGTTTGGTGAAGAACATCCCAAGACCGCTAACTGCTACCATAATATAGGAGCTATACACCATTCCGTCAGTGATTACACCGCCGCCCTTGAGTCCGCCAAGCCTGCTTTTGATATCAGAATTAAATTGTTTGGTGAAGAACATCCCAACACCGCTGAAAGCTACCATT